CATACATGTTGAAAAGGTATGGAGATAGGATGCATCCCTGGCGTACACCCTTCCCAATTTTGAACCATGCAGTGTTACCCTGCTCTGTTCTGACTACTGCTATGAGATTACAAAAATTATTGAAGAAATTAACTACTTAATTGAAAGTTTCCTCTTCAAAGAAATGTTTAAAAACTTTTTATCTAAAAAAATAATTTTTTAGTCCAGTACAGCACTAGTAAACCTACAGTTAAGAAATAGGTACTACAGTACTTCCTATACTTCTTACTTTCATAAAATGTAAATTCTTACTGTAAACACTTTTATGAGTTAGAAAAACCTAATACTGAACATAATATAGGATTTGTGAAACTTAGTTTCAAATAAATTTCAGGTATGAGTTTCAGAACTTTAGGAAATAATATTACAAATAAATAAATTTAAAATGTGATCAAAACTCTAACTAAACCAACAAATACAAAATTCTAATACAGTACTGGAATACACAATTTGAAAAAAACGTACATTTTAGTGGGGCAAGGGGAAGGAAAAGGTATTAAAAGTTGTAATTGCAAAATATACTTTGAGACAAAAAGCACGTCAATAAAATGGGTAATGGTAAATTACTTCAAATGCTTAAAAAATTAGTGTAGCTTTTTTAGAATTTTGGGGGGTCATGCCAATTCTTTCACTGGCGTGAGGAGAGTGATGGGTCTGGAAGGGAGGCAGGGACTAGTTGAGGGGCTCAGTTTTAGCACTTATATATAAGTGATCTTAGACAAGTCATTTTTCTGTATCTCAATTTATTTACTGTAAAGAATAAATGAGAAAATTTACATAAAGTCACTTGGAAAACTCTAAAATACAGTATTTTTGTGGTTGAAAAGTTACACCTCTAAGAAGCCAAAGATCTGCCCAAGATCATGCACTTAGCTAAAAAGAACTTATTCTGTAAACTGGACCTACCATTTAAAATGAGAAAAACAATTATTTAAATAAATCTAATAAACCACCTGTGGCTACAATCCCAGAGGTGCACAGTTCGAATCCACCAGATGCTCTGCCAGGGAAGGAGGGGCAATCTCCTCCTGTACCAGTCAGATCTGATTTGACGGTACACGCACACAAAAATAATAAAATAAAAAAAAATTTAAAAAAAAAGAATATTCTTTCAGCTACTAATAACACCATGCCCATTTTCAGATAACTCAAGTTTCTGTTCATTCTTTTCCTACATATCCTCAAGGAATAACCTGCTGGTAGTCAATGCATTTAACAAAGGTATCGTTGAATTTCCCGGCACTCACCTAGGATATACATTGCTAAGTACATGACATTTTGTATTCCATATGCTGCAATGGCCAACAATCCAAGAACTTCATATGCAATTGCCAATAGGTAAAGTAACAAAGTAATGAGTTCATTAATATTTTAAAAAGAAAGAAAAGCGTAAGCACTGCTTTCCTCATTCTAAAAAACTTCAGTCGGTCATGTTTCCATTATTTCAAACTCCACCAAGCATACCACCACCATCCTAACTGGATGTGCTTCAAACAACAGCTATGGGCGAGCTGTGAATCTGTGATCTGACTAACTGCCAATGTTAACGTTTACAGGTATTTTCCCCAGCAACTCATTTTTTCCTTCTGGCTGGCCTTGAAAGGCATGGATGAGTGCTCAAAGGGGACTACACATCTATTCAAGAATTTTCTCTTCCCTTGAAAATTGTCTGTTGATTTCTGGAAGGATGATTTAAAAAAGAAAGAGTATACATTGACATTGTTTAAAGAATCCACATAGGCTAGCCAAACAAAGCTATCAATTACTAAAGAGTCCATCTTCTAACTCTACTTGAAATTCAACATAAAAGGCCTCCTTCACATCTCCTTTCTAAGGTAGAATGTTCATCACATCTTAGGGATGTAACTAACAATTTTTTGGGTTTTTTTACCTTAAAAATCAACATAAAACCAAATCAAACACACTGACACGGGGTCAAATCATAATACAACCTGTAAGCTCCCTCAAATTAAGTAAAACCAAACTGAGATAACACTGGGGGGGAAATACAGCACAGGGTGCTACCGCAGAAGTCAGCACACAGTACAGGCTTCTCATCTCACTCCCTTCAGACAGCAGGATCCCTGGAAGACACAAAGTAACTGCTACCCGTTTTGTCTTAAAAAAATTTAGCAAATAAAAATCTAAGAAGCTATGTCTATCAAAATGAATACAACTGAATGGTGATTGACACTGTGGTACTGTAAGCCTGTGCAGCCCTGGAGAGAAAATACAAGAAACATCAACCTTCACAAGACCAGGTGTTGCTGGGAACAGGATCCAAGCCTGTATTCACTCACACATACTTTCTTTTCAATATGGCCTGTGATGGCACATCTCAAGACAGAGCAGAGAAGAGCCATCAAACCTGTTTTCCTTCCATCATTTAATGATGTTTTTAAAGACTAGATGGCCAAGTTTTCAATACCTTCTTAACTTCAAAGACAAATACCTTTGGCCAAGCAAAACACTGCATGTAATGTTAAATCTTAAACTCCAGGGACTGAGCCAGTAATTAAGCCACCTGAAGTCTCTCTTTTTAATGGAAATCTAATTGTAAAAAGAAGAAATCTATAAAATTTATCTCTACACCTAACCCTACGTCTGTCTTGGAAGAAGTGCAACCAGAATATTCCTCAGAAGTGAGGATGGTATGCGGTCACATACTTTTGTCCATGTTATCAGTGCCTGGAGAAGGACCTATCATGCATGATAAATTACAGTCCTTCAAAGAGATGGACTGAGTCCATGGCTTCAACAGGCTCATCAATAACAGCAGCGATTCTGAGGATACAGAAGATGAGTCAGTGTTTCACCTCCTGGTACACAGCGTTCCTCGGAGTGAAAAACGACTCTACAGCACCTTACTCTAGGAGAGCCAGTGATTTGGAAACTCCCAAGTATAACCTTACTAGTAAATTCTATTTTATTCATGAAGAGTTCTGGTAGCCTAGAGGTAAGGCAAGAAGCTGCCCTGCAATCCCGAAAGCACATGGTTCAAATCCACCAGGCTGCTCCATGGGAAGAAGATGGGTAAACTTTTCCTGTGTTATTAACTGCTTTTTTTTTAAATTTTTATTTTATTATTTTTGTGTGAGTGTACCGTCAAATCAGATCTGACTGGTACAGGAGGAGATTGCCCCTCCTTCTTCAGCGGAGCATCTGATGGATTTGAACCACACACCTTCGAGACTGCACTGCAGCTTCTTGCCACTAGGCCGCCAGAGCTCCCCAACACGCAGATGTTTTAAATAATTATTCAAATGTTTGAAAATGCTTGTAATTCACACTATGATGGGAATAAAAATTCAAACACAGAAACAAAGCACAATCTAACCTAAAATCAAGAATATGAACTGAATGCCTCTAAAAGTTCTCTAAACTTCTAAATTTTACATGAGCAGCTACCAAGCATGTTCCCACTCCATCTTCCTTCCCTCTCTCCTTTACTCAGGTCAGACTTGCATCACAGTCAAAAAGCCTTATCTCTGATTTGTTCTCCCTCACATCCATTTCCTCTAATAAAATCCTTGCACATTTAATTTCGTCTTGCTTTTTTCAAAGGACTCAGAGTAATATATATTATTATAAATAACCTACTGGTATACTTGAATGATTACTGAGCAAACTGGTTGCCATCTCTGACCTACCATCATTCCCCATGGAAGACAAAATTTTTTCTCGTTCTTCCCATGGTAAGGCACTCAGGGTGGGCATGTCATCGGGAAATACAGCTCGTTTTCGGCCAAGGGCAACAGCAGCTCTTCTGCAGACATGTTTAATCCGGGGTCCACGCACAGAAGTCTCTGATGAATCACTTTCTTGACCCTGAATATAAGGCAAAAACCCAAATAATAAAACCACAGGTAATATAATTATGTTGACCTCAAGGTGTTGTTAATTTATCATAATCTAGATTCAAAACATTAATATACAAGTTCATTATTAACTGACAGGTCTTATGAACACAGAAAAATCAATTATTTCTATATCCTAAATTGGTGGCAAATGAGGCTTCTAAAACAAACAAAAAAATCAACTAAGTTTCTATTTTTAATTACATATCTTCAAATACCCCTAAAAATTCAATCTGTGAGTCTATAATAATACAAAAATATTTGGTCTGATATAATGAGAGTTTATCTTAACTACAGACTATGTCTTTTATTTCCCCGGTTAACAGAGAAAAAGGAGGAAATAACCTATCAATGGGCATATGGAGTCATGACTCCAAATAGAAATACCCCAAATTTTAAAGAGCAGTTGCTCTAACACTAATGATGCAAACCAAAACACATCCAACGAAAGCCATCTCTCAGTGGAAGAACTATGGCATGCAAATATAGCCGAAGAATCAAAGTCTGTGGCCACATAATAGGTTTGAATAAATATGCATCTAGTACATGACAGCTTCTGTTTTTTAAAGAATCTAAAAATTGGTGAGTTTTCTCAGGGAAGGCCAGTGACTTGCTCTGTTTAAGCTATGCTAATGATTGTAAAAATCTGTCTTAACTTACTATCTTCTTAATTGTCCAACTGACTTCTAGTTTTCAGGTCCCATAATAACATCTAGCATCCATTGCTCTAATCTTCACTAATGTTTCCCTCTAGTTCTTTTATCTTATCAGAGATGGTAAAACCATATGACATTAATAACCATACACCATCTAAATTGCAGATTTTTTAATGTCAAACCTGTACAAATGGCTTGACCTCCACTATAATGTGCCCTAACCTACCTTTCAGCCTCTATCCATCATTATTCCATGTGTACCAATTCATCTACTTACTGTTCCTTGAATACGTTTTCGATTTCAACCTCTACCCACACTGTTCACTCTAGAAAGTTTCTCCAGGCATTCTCTATCAAAATCCTATCAGTCCTTAAAGGACCATAGCATATACCACTACTTTCATACTACTTTTCCTAATGCTCATAACTGAATATAACGGAAACACTTAATCTAAGACTTGCCCGTAGAAGAGCTTGATAAACCTGACTTTAAGAGGCAAGGTAGAAGAGAGTACCTGTGCTTTGGGTTGGTCAGTTTGCTTAAGACTCTTACTCTTCTCAATCTTGCAGAGCTGGGCTTTGGCCTTTTTTAGGAGGCTGGCAACCCTCTTGTCAGTCATTGGAAGCTTGTCTGCCTGAGCCAACATGGAGCCTATGGAGGAAGTGGAATGTTTAACAGTGCTAGATGAAGGAGTGGAAAGGCAGAGGGTTTTCTCCTTCTCCAGGGATGGGGCAGTTGGGTCGAGGTCCAAGTTGGTTTTTTCCAGATTTCCTCTCCCTTTCTTTATAAGTATTTTGGTTTTGACAGCTGTTGTATCCCCAAGAGTCACAGAAGTAATATCAGTCCCAGAATCAAGTGATGAAGACTTCTTCCGCCCAGTTGTTTTTTTGGCAGAAGAAGAAGTGGCAACATCTTCACCAACAAGAACCTTCTCTTTGGAAACCCTACCCACAGGATACAAAGCAGAACTACTCTGAATTTCTGATCCCTTTTTCCTTTTCTCTTTCCTTGATTCCCGTTTATTTTCTTTTTCTCTCCCCCGGTCTCTCTCTCTACTCTTGTCCTTCTCCACGCTCTTGTCAGCATCTCGATCTTTGGACAGCTCCTCAGGGGCCTTGTCTTTGTTTCTCCCTCTTTCCGTCTGAGAGCCTGGGGTGAACCAAGGGAAGAGAGGAGTAGGACTACTTGATGAAAATGGCTCGGCTTGAGCACTAGTCTGCTTCCTTGGTCTCTGATTTTTCTCTGTAGATTCCCCAGACTGAGTCAGGGAATGAGAAGGGAAAGTAAAAGTTGGGTTTAAGGCACTAGTGGCAAGAGGACTAACAGAAATGCTCAACGAAGAAGAGACAGAAGACGGTGGGGTGAGAGGTGACAGCTCAGAAGTACTAAGCCTTCCACTTCTTGTCCTCATGGAGTGAGAAGGAGATCTTGGTTCAGATCGAATAGGGCTAAACACTTTCCTTTTTCTTTTTCTATTAGATACTCCTGAAGATGTTCCAGCAGAAGTTCGATTACCAGGCAAGGTAACAGACTCAAATATTCTAGAGTGAGCCTCACTTGGAGTAAATCTCGGAGCTCTCAGAAGAGGGCTCCTTTTGTGCATCAAACCTTGTGCATCAAACCTTGTTCCAGGATGGAGTGGTGAAAACAATCGGGCTGAAGCTGCTGTACCAGACGTAGAAAAACCAGATGCGAAGCCAACATCCTCAGGAGTCAGTGGAGGGGGTCGGAAATTATCAAATATTGGTTTGCGAATCAGACCTTCTTTGGCATACTTTGCTGAGGAAAAGTATTGTGGCTCTGATCTAGAATGCTTCAAAGAAGTCCACCTAAACGTTGGTTCTCGCAAAATAGATTTTCGCTTCTCTTGCATGGGAGCAGCAGAAGTAGGCAAAAACGGTGATGCTAAAGGGATTGTTGGAGGCATTAGCCAAGGTGTGTGGTCAGAGATACTGGAGGCTGGCTGCAGAGGTGGGGGCGGAGTAAGCAGAGGTGGTGGTGGAGAGGAGGAGGGCTGCTGCTGAGGAGCATTTTGTAGAGCTGATAATTTTTTAGTTGTTCTAGATCCAAAACTTCTCTCGGAAACGGAATACCTCCTGCTTCTCCTATCATTATTATCATTTTCTGGGGACTGGGAAATAGGCAGTGGAGTATGAACTTCGGGGGTTTCGCTGCGCTCTTCAGGAAGTACCTGAATCTCCTCAGAGGCCTGAGAATCTGTGGAGGTATCAACACTGGGGCTACTAGATCGGGAAGAGTCTGAAGACATCTGAGAGGAGTGCTGAGAAGCTGCGCTTGATTTTTCAGAAGATCCACAGGAAGTGGCACTGAATCTACTGTTCGGTGTAGACTCGAGTCGGGCAATTTTAATTGGTGGGTCATAATCCTCATCCTCTATAAACCGACGAGGGGTTTTAATGATCCGTGAGGAAATGGCGCTGACAACAGGCATGATGAACTGTCGGATATTTTTGACCTGTGTTTTCACTTTTCTTCCTTGCAGTTGAGCTGCTTCTTTTTCAATTTTCTTTTGAGCCCCCTTTTTTGCCTTTTGTAAGAGTTGCTTAGCAATTGTTGCATCTGTCCTTTTTGAAGAAGGAATAATCCTAACAGTTGGTTTAATCCTTCGAGGGCTTTGTCTGACAACAGTCTTATCTTCTTTTGTAAGTGGAGGTGTACCTTCCTTGTCTTTCCGAACCTTCTGGGGCTTCTCCAGTTCAGAGTTAATGAGGAGACTGGAAGGGGTTTTTATCCTTTCTGTTGATGGAGGTCTTCCTCGCCGTCGCACAATTTGTACCCCCTTCCTTCCTATTTGAAGCTTCCCTGTCTTAAATTTAGACTTGAGAGGAGAGAGTTTACCTGCTCTTAATTTTTTAATCTTTGTGGCTTGCTGAAATGTAGCAGAAGGTGTCCGTTTAATTTTTTTCAGGCTATCTTCTTTATTTCCCTTTGGTAACTCTGAAATGTCCTTTCCATGCGTTATTTTGATTTTTACTCCAGGGAAGGTGGGAGGTCTTCCTCTCTTCTTTTCTAAACTTTTGGAATCTTTCTTCTTTATTTTCTCTCCAGATTTGGTCTCTGATTTATTTAGAGAGGAAAACATGGATGGATCTGAGAGGATAGCTGAATTTCGGTCAGAGCCACTTCTAGGTCTCCCACGAGGTTTTCGAGGACTAGTTTTAACTGCGTATAGAAATTAAACAATGAAGAGCATATATTTAGCTGTGTAGTTCAGGTCTTAACTAAGCTGAATATAATTTAGCACAAGCCATTTTGTACTGAACTCTTCTTGTGTTAATATAACATCTTAATTATGTTTAGTTTCTTTTCACCAAAAACTTGTTTCAAAGAAATCAAGTAAATAACACTGTACAAAAATTAAGACAATTTTTTAAAAGTTTTTAATTCCAATACTGATATACAAACTAGTCTTTTTTTACAAATTTAGACGAACAAAAGTTTTTTCCTGAACTCAAAATAGCCCATATTTTTTAAAAGCACTTTTTCATACTTAACCACCAAGATCAATATTTAAGATCATGAAACCATGTTTATAGTAAGTAATCTCACAGCTTCAATACAGAATTTTTACTTTAAATTAAATATAATGGCATTGCTCCTATCAGTCATATACCTACTCTCACAGGAAAATGTTCTTTGGCAAATCAGCTTTCTCTATACAAAGTAAACTAAAAAAATCTTACTGAACAGAAAAGTTAATGAGTTAGAATAAGTTCAGTGAACTCAGTGACATGTGAACTAATCAGGGAAGTGAATGAAATATTAATTAAATGAAGGAAGTCAAACTCAATACTGTCGAACTGGAATCAACTCACAGCTGACTCTGCAGTGGATTTTCAGAGGCTATAAATTGCATGGGAAGAAACTGTCCATTTTTCTCCCTCAGAGAAACTGATGGATTTGAAGTGCCTGCCTCTGAGTTGGCAGGACAACTCTGTTATTTACTAGGTTACAAGAGCTCCCTTAGGCTCTTAAACCAGTTAGCTCAAATTTTTAAAAACCAGTGTAATTCTATTTGATGTAAAAAATGAACTGATAATTTACTAAATCAAGTTTCTTTTATTTGAAATAAAATTAATTTTCCAATTTATAAACCAACTCAATCTGTTCAGTAAGAGATTTAAGAAGACTATACACTGCATAATTTTCCTAATGTTATTATGAGTTGTCAAATTCTATCACACTTCTCTTTCTTCTTGATTTTTCAATGTTTCATGACTCAATATTATTCAGAAATTAACATCTCCCCTAACACCAAAAGAGATTTATGCCATTATGGGTATTTTAGACTAAGGAGCCAGTCTTCTAACAAAACAGAAATCAACTTAGGTCTTATTCTTGAGCTTTCTATATAGAAATGCTTTCCCTAGCAATTAACTTATGAAATTTCCTAAGTAATTAAGGATTCACAAATCCTTCTAATTACAACAAAAGTAATAAACTAGACGACAGCAAAGAAATTATAATTTATTTCTTAATAAAGCATATCTAGATGGCTCCACTATTAAAAGTAAGATTAACATTTAAAGTAGATGGATAACCAGGAAGGAAAAATCCCCAAAACTTAACAAAATCATAAAAAAGTAGACAATTAACCAAACAACTATTCAGAAGTACATCACAAAGTTCCTTATTATCCTAGTATACTTGAATCTTGTCACTCTGAGGGATTTAACAATTCTGAAAATGTTTGCTAGCCAATTTTTTAAAAAAGAACTTGTTGGATTACGAGACTAAGCAGAACAGACAAGGTCCCAGTTCTGCTATTAATTTCCACAATCCACTGCACATTCCTAGAACTCTGAACTTAATTATAAATAAGTGCTCATTTCCGGGGCCTAATGTTTGTCATGTCTAAATGAAGAATTGGACCAGATGATCCCTCTTAGTCTCTTGCTGACGGGAGGTTTAAGATTTTATCACATCTTAAACACAACACTGCTACTGTCTAAACAGCACAAATACTGGGACACTACTGGCTAATGCCTCCCAGTTATGAGTGGAAATACCACCACCACTTCGCTGGTACTTAACTTGAAAAACTGTCAACTTACATGTTTTAATTATATTACTTTAAAACATACAGTGACACCATGGAATGAACTCCAAACACTAGTGAACATCACAAACCAAATCAATATAAGAAAGCAAAACCATAGCCAATAATATTCAATTAGATTTTTTTTTATCAATATAACATGAAAGAAAAATATACAAGTCAGGCAGCACATCTGGGGAATGCATTTTCCACCAAAAGAATTCTGGTCTTCTCTTTATTTCCACTGTCTTGAATTTTAAGATACTCTTGTTATTTTGCTGAGAACAATAACAAGTACTGCTAACAAATGGAAACAGTCTCATAATATTTTTACTTTAATATAGCCTTTCAAATATGAACTGTTTTGTCCTTATTTATTTAAAAATAGTAGACAAAATTCCAGCTGTAAAAAATGGCCAAATTATTAATAAAAGCATATATATTACCATGTAATATAAAAGATGCAAATCTGGCAATGGTTTTAGTAGGTTATCGTCAATTTGTCTACCAAGTTTTTTCCATTAATAGGAAACATCTTTCCTTTGAAGTGGTTACGAGAGAGCTAAATACTAAAGAAGAAACCAAATATGGCCTGACAAGAGTCCATCAAAGTCTAATTCATAAGTCATTTCTTACTTAGTATGAGGGAATAGGAATGATGTTTTTTTTAAAAAAAAATCAGTATTTTAGATAATTTTCACATGCAAAGAAAGCCAAGGGAAATCTCAAACACCTACAAAGCCTGAAGGCATCATGTGTTTAACTGGCCATACCTGATGGAGACCTTGTAGGACTTCGCACTCTGACTTCTTCATCTGAGCCAAAACCTAAGAACTGCTCATCCTACAACAAAGGAAAATTATTTTAAAATCAGAAGCAAAACTCATAATCTGAACATATCCCAAAGAAATACCCAGAGGAGATATAAATTAATTTGGAAAATTAGCCTCTATTAATCATCATTATTCAAATGGATACTATAAAGTCACTAATATTGAAATAAATGGACCTACCCATACAGCTCCATTACAAACAAATAGGAGCTGAATAATACACTGAAATACCATCTTTGGTGCATAGTACACAAGAATCAGTCCTAAATTTCAAAATAGATACAGCCCAAAACAATTAAAGAGTTACTTTAATGCAGGTAAGCCAATCAGTGCAATGTCAGAATTATACAGCCCCAATAAAACAAACAAATGCTTTTCAACAAAGTAGTTAAGTCAAAGGAATAACATAACCATAATCTCTTGTCTATTAAATGTTAAGAGACTGAAAGTGCCATAATTGTCAGTTCCTTAACTCAGGAAATGACCTTTAGATGTGATTTATATAGGTTTGAGATTCAAAGGATTCTCATCAGGTATTTTATGGCATTTTGAAATGCCCTGTGATAAGAGACTTAATGGTGGGCAGCAGCATTTGTGAAAGGGATCATGAATTGACCATACACAAGGTGAAATTCAATTACTAAACAACTTAAGAAATACCATATTTTCACTTATCAAAGACAAAGGCAAAAACTTTTCCTACCTCTAAGCTTACTCTGCCTTTAAAAACAAACAAACAAAAAAAACCCCTAAGGATTCCTTTGACCTATTTTGGACAACTTCTCAAAACAAATGGTCTACTTAAACTCACTAACAGACGCACATTAACTAAGAGGTCTTTCTAGAGAATAAGATACAGAATTTCAGATTTCAGAAATAAGTAACATAAAATAAGACCAAAATAAGGAATAAAGAATAGATTTTCTTGTCTCTCCAATTTATACTGAAAGGCAGACCCCAGTCTGTGACCCAGATTTTAAAGCACCAAAAATTAACATTCAAAAGATGAGAATGAACAACAGTATCTGTAAATTTTCTAATAAAGAGTCATTTACTCAGAGTTAGGTGCAAATTTCAACCATGCATATACTGAAAGAGAAATGTAACGTCTTGGATGAATTAGCAGGCTTATCTCCTAAATGTAAATGCCTTTGAAAAGCAGAAATATTTGGGGTCAAATCTTTGCATATCAGGGAACTGAGAGACAATTCTTATTAGAACTGAAAAGGATTCTGCTATGTTGTTGTTGTTGTTGTTGTT